AAAAAACAATTAAAGAGGTTACAAAATGGCAAAAAGGCCTAAATTAGTTTCCTCAGTCATTTTTAAAAAATAATTAAACATGTCATCAATTAGAGAAGTAATGCAAAACTTTGGAACTAATGAAAAGTGGTCAAATAATTGGATCTATTTTTAAGCTGAAGTTTCACAGAATGAACGCCCCCTGAGGCAGAGCCGAGCTCTGCAGCAGTCGATTCGCTGTTCTATGTTTAAAAATTTAAGGAGAGAAGAGCACACAAAGACGAGAAGAAAAGTCCACGCAAAGTAAAAGTCGCTACTCACCAGTTCCACTCTGGGTCCCAGCCCCTCCAGTATCCTATGAGCCTCTTCTGCCTTTTTCTGATGAGAAAAGACAAACAGAAGTAGCACATTAGCCAGCTGCCATCACCACGGCAACACGGGGAACACGCTCACTAGATCACCAAGGCAAAAAACAAAAAACACTGCTTGCTACAAAGGGTGGACGGGGCTGGATGCATGGATAGATGGAGAGCTGGACCCGCTGCCTATTATTAGAGCTTTTAACTCAAGCTGGGCCACAGCTCCTTGCCTCAGCTCTCTCTCTCCCCTCTCTCTCTCCCCTCTCTCTCTTTCTCTATCTTCTCCAGCAAGAAAAAAAAAGAGAGAAAGATTACTCACCTCCACTGAGCAGAGAAAGGTTAGAGAGAAAGAGCAGGCAGGCATGAAAGCAAGTGGGAGTAGACTAAAAAAGTGGGAGAGAAAAAGGGGGGGGGGGAAAGAGTGGAGCTGGAGGAGTGGAGGGGGACACAAATGTGTATACGTCTTTCCAAAACTCCAAAGCAATATTCTCGCTGTACTCTTCTCCTTCATTTGCCATGTGCAGATGCCCTTGGTGCATGTAGTGACATTTTACAGCTGATGACGGGTCGGACCACATTTCAGTGGCAGCTTTTATTTCTTTATATTAGGTTAGGCTATTTGACCTAATGCTGCTTAAATATCCTCAGCAGACTTAAAACAAGCTGAACTCTAATAGTTAGACAACCGTCATGTTCAGAGAACATACTATAAACGTGCTTTCATGTAGCAAGGACAAAAACCTTCATGGTTTTAAATGATTATGTTGTAAAATTTTGTACGAAAATGCTAATATTGATGCTAAAATTTTCCGCGACGACACATTTCTGCATGACCGCCATTGCTTGATGTCTAGAATCAACAGCAGAAATCGGTGAGCATTTATCGTATCGTTTATTATTTATTGTGACAAACTTCTTAGAGGAGTTTTGATTTATCATCGTCTTGACTAATTTGAATCAATGATATTAAATAAAAAAAAACTGCATTATCGGAAATGTTATTTTTACAATTTTCTTCACTGTTTCACGGGAGCATCAAAAAAACATATCAGTAAGTTCGAAAACACCATGTGCAGTTTAGACTTATAAATCTTACTTGTTAAGTAAGTGGAGTATCAGAGAAGCCTATTTTAAATTGGAACGTTTTCAACATTTTCCGTGCTACAAATGTTTTGCCATGCAGTCACAGTCGTAAAGTTATCTAAAAAAGAAGCAAAAAATTTTTTCAAATCATAATTTTTATCGTTATCATAATAGTATTGCAAAATATCACAATAATATTCTAAGTCCATACCGTAACTGTGCTAATAAAAGGCAAATATCTTGTGTGCATTTTCGTTTTTCCATTTTAAAGAAGTTAATTTAGCAGGATTTTATTTTAATTAAAGACTTCACAGCAAATTTGACACTGGAATGTTTTTTTTTTTTGTTTTTTGTTTTTTTTTTAAAGTTTCTTGAATTGTGATCAAGGGCCACAGAAAATCATTCCAAGAGCCACAAATGGTCCACGAGCCGCACTGTGAGCACCCCTGGCCTACATCCTCAGCTACATGTTTTTAATAGACATGCTTCACTGCAGGGAAATGGTGATAAAAATCATGACTATACATCAACTCCACATCATGAGTGAACACAAGCTAGTTACAACTTGGTCAAAAGTGAGGCGAAGCTTTTTTGAATAAAACCCTTGTGCTTCCACCGAACAAGGAAAGAAAAGAACCACAGCCTTACACAATGCACATGTTGTACATATCAATTAAATGCAAATGTTGCTTCCTCATCATCAGTGAGTAGGTGTAACAGGCTGCAGAGTATTGCCTCAGAGAGCACGCTCACAGCAGCAGCACTTAATGAGCAGCAATTATTAAAAGGAGACTTTCATCCTCCGAGAGTGGAGGGAGGGAGGCTGGGGGATTTCTCTTCATTTCCGAACTGTGATACTTTCAGCTAATTTGAAAACAAAGCTGTGAAATACTGAAGTAGCTTCAGAAGAAGAAAAAAAAACCCAAGAAAAAACAAACAATATCTATGGAAGTAAAGTGGAGAGGGGAAATGTGAGGCAAAACATTGTGGTTTTCCGTAAGAGTGTAATTAATTAAAGTGCTGGTGCTTCGTTAACATCATTCATGTTTGTAAGCAGACAGATGTGAAGAGGCTGAATTTAGCATTTCAATCATGCCCCCCGGTGGTGGCACACAGATTCACCACAGCGGCGCTCGCATTATCACCGCTCGTAAAGTTAGGAGCCGATGGAACATTTTCTGCAGGTCACATGATCCGACTCCAGCAAACGTGAAACCAGATTTCTGGGATTGATTCTGCGGCTTCCCTGAGTGATTATAATCCCAAACCCCCACCAAAGGGAATCCTGGGAACAAAAACAAGGAAAAGGGACAAATGCAGGGGGAAAAATACCAAAAAAACAGCAACGCTAGTTTTACATCGAAAAGACATAAACACAACGTAGTCACAGGAGGTCCATGTCTTTTCACATGCCCATATCTGTGAGGATTGTTCTCCAAATACAGGGAGAATGAACATGAACTGAGTCGTCTATGGGGGGTCTGATGATGGGGCTGAAAGAGCCTGTGACTGTGAGCCCCAAAGGGACAGATGACAGTGTGGAGACAGGAAGAGCTGAGGCTGAAGTAATTCCAGCCACGTGTGTAAACACCATGTGCAACCATTTCTTTTTACAACACAATATACCCCCCCCCACCCCTGTGCACCCCTCTTCCCTTGAAGACAACTCAAATTTAGCATATCGGATCGCGACAATTAAACAGCGGCGCGAGCGCAGTTGTAAATACCAGAAATGCAGAAGCGATGAGCAAAGCAAGAGCGTGTGACTTAGAATAGAAGCAGCTCGAGCCTGGTTTGACCGCCACAATGAGGCTGGATGGCAGCAGGCCAGGGTGCATCATGTAAGTCAGAGGGAAGTGTTACAGAGGTTAGACTGCACGCTCGAGTCACTCTATAACTTGCGCCATCTGCCGTGTCCTCCTGTTCCACGGAAGGGCTGCGTTTTAGCTGACCACAGAAACAATCAAAGTCGCGCGCTGCGCTTCTTCCTAAAGGGTTTCCGACGGCATTTCAGCGGTTATCCGCCGTTTCTCTGAGACACACAGCAATGCAAAGTATGTTTTATTACGCACAGCGAATGCCAGAGTTTGGGCTGAACTATAATTGTCCATTTTGAGTGAAATGCCTGCACACTGCACTGCTGTCCAGCATAGATGTGCAAAATTACCCAGTTTAAAATATATGCTGGATATAAAAATAAAAATAAAAAATAAAAAAAAAATCACAAGCGGCTCTTCAGAGTTTCAGTTTTGAACTCAATTCCTACAAAGAGTGAAACCCCAGCTTTTAACCACAAGGGGGACTGAGAGCACTGAGAATCACTGCAATGCTCTGTGGTTCATCTTCTGCACACACCTCAACTTCCTGCGGCGAACGTTTCCTGCTAGCTTTTACGAGGCACTGCTCCATGAAGAGGCTGATTAATCCGAAATATTTTAGAGCAAAGATCAAGGGTTGTGTCAGTGCAAACGTGAGTCACCTTCTACTGTGTGTGCGCCTCTCGGAGTCAACTCTCTGATTCATCATGTTTGCCATGTTGACCTTTAGTAGCATATTCTTTCAGGCAACATTCCTACCTTGCACGGCAGTAACAAGTAAGAGGGGTAAGGTATGACATGAATACATTTTGACAAGCTTTGAGATTTTTTTGTTTTTTTTTTGTTTTTTTTTTTTTTTCAGATTTATCTCACAGAAAGAAAAAAAAAGTATGACAGACTGCTGCTTTTCTGGGGAGGCAGCATGTACAGACAGTATTTACTGTGCAACCCGTCACGCGGCAGCCGTGAAAAACAATAACACAGCCCCACCTTTCAACGTAATGAATACTCTGCGAAAGTGATCGAGTGTGGCCATATTGAAATACCCAGGAATATGGGTCAAAGGAGCAAGGCAGCAGATTAAGCACGCCTGTTTGAGTGTTTGTCTTCCACTTACTCGGTTCTCATCGTAGATGATCTGCACCAGGCTGCGGTGCTTGGCCTCACTGGGTGGCGGCGAGATGGGCCTCTCGGGTTCGTGGGGCTTGGCGGCTTCCTCCTCCAGCTGTTGCTGCAGCACACACAAAAAAAGATCAGATAAATTTTCCATTATATGTAATGGGGAAAATATTGAAAGCAGACGGTTTTTGTTTACAGATATTCCCGTCACAACAACAACTGTCGCTGGATGACAAATTGTCCCGGAAATCGTTGCGATAAACGATTATATTGGCATCTTGAGACAATTTTCAACTAAGATAATACTTTCTTTAATTTCTAAAGAGCATTTAGCATTGAGACTGGAAAATATCTAAAAGATCCAAAATAAAATCAACAAAACAGTTGAAACAAGAAGAATCAAAATGGATTATGAGGTCTCTGTAACCAAAATTATGTTTCAAAAAAATATTCAGCTTTGACAGGGAAAACGGGTAAAAGTGGCAAGAAGCGCAAACTAACTACTTCGTACTGGGTGTCAAATGTTGGCGGCGCTTCTCAAAATGCTGAGGGGAGCATCTCTAACGATTGTTGTCCATGTGGAAATTTTTGATCTCATTTTAATTCATCATGCGATTAATTGATTTTGCTTATTGCTTTATGTGACATACATGAAAAAGTGACGCTTATAGAATGTAGGTTATGGCTACATATATAGAGCCAAGACTACTCTTTCAAATAACTAAAAGCAACAACACAACATTACAGCTTTGGAGATAAATCTTTCATAGGATGGTTCAACTTAATGGCAGACGTGTTTCACCGGTGCTGCTATTCGCGTGGCACTGCACTCTGCCACTTAAGATTATGTGTGATCAAGGAAGGGGGAAAAAGAAACTGAAGAACGAGGCCAAACATGCCACATTTATGGAGCTACATCAAACAATGAGTTAATATACTCTGCAGCAAAACTGAATTTGATTAGCACAAGACTGCACAAAGAGAAGGCAGACATTCCTGATTCAAATGGCTTTTCGAGCAAATAAAATCGATGTTTACAGTGGGAGCGTAGAACGAGTGGCACCGCGTGTGCATAAACAAAAAGGTACGGAGGGAGAAAAATATCAAACGGGGAACTGTGATAATGGAAAAAGCAGATGAAACAACAAGGTGGCTCTGAATGTGCATTTTGGCTTTGGATTAAAAAAAACACAATACATAAAAATAAAACAAAATACTTAATTCATCAATGGGTTCAAACAAGCCTATAATAATTAAAATAATAACTGAATGAAAATGATTAAATACTAATAAAATATTCAATAGCTACAGCCTTGTGTGTATTAAAGAACATATTCACCAGCTTGTGCCAGTGATCAGTTTGTATTGCTGCAAGTCACAAAGTCATGACTTTAAAACCGGGGGGGGCAGGTGGCTTTGAAACACATTTACATCATCTAAACGAGCCCATAAAGTCGTCTCCTTATGCAAGTATTATTATGTTTATCCAGAGCTCCATTACAGCTACAAACTCAGAAGATTTATGTCAAATTATTTCCATTACCTCGAACAGATAAGGTCTGGCAGCTGTGTTGGTGTAAGAGAATGACGTAATGCAACCGAGAAGGTTTTAATAGTGATTTGAGAAAATTAGGTTAGGTGGTTATTTTTGACTGGACAGCCGAGGTGGTGTTAGAGGGCATTTTTACCCCAGCGAGGATAAGAACCGCAAATCCAGTTCAACTTGAAGTTAAAGTTCTCTAAAGACAATAAGAGGCAGTGAAATTACATGTTTACAGGATTATGAGATTAGCCAGTAAGTGAAAGAACTACAGGTGCACCAAATGCAGTGTTCTGGCTGATCACAGATCTTTAAAAACCCCAACCTGGTGATTCCAATATTGACAGATGCCAAATGTTTTTATAACTGACCCTTTCAATGACCCAACACACTTTCAATGTTCTAACCTTACTTTACTGAAAATCACTGAACAAAAAACCTCAAGACAGCTACATGCAAGTTGTTAATTTATATTTTTCTCAAAGGGAAATTAAAAGTTTATACATATTGGCGAGTCTGTCGGTCAGCCCTCAGAGAAAAAGTAGACGGTGGCTGATTTTCAGACGGCTGTAAAGGTAGATAAGTTTGGTGGATATGATCGACATCGGTCTATCACCAGTCACAAAAGAATTATGGAAATTGGAGCTGACCCATTGGTGAACACTATAAAAACAAATTAATTACTGGTAAAAATATTGCAATCCAGGTGGGGAGCTGCTAGTTTCAAATCCAATACTGAAGTGCAATATCAAAACTGCAAAGGATTGCATAGATGTAATATTTGGTAGACTGAAACATTACAGCTGCCATGCATTCAAACTCTGGAAAAGTGGAAATGTAAGCAGCAGTGAAGCAGATCTAGGTTAACTACCTTTGAAAAATGTCAGAATAATATTGCAATGTCATGTTTTCCCTCATAATGTGCAGCCGGAAAAATCCAGCCCTATTAATTCACAGATTTCTGAAAACACCAACCAAAAAATTAGAAGTGATATCTACACAAGAATCGTTTGACAAAAGCTTTAATGCCAGTAAATCAGGCTTCCACTGCGCTCTGTGAGCAATCGTTAATATAAAGACTGTCTTAATATTTTAACTTTTATGTACCAGCCGCTCCAAAACAACTCTTGACCACTACAATATGGAAACTTTCAACTACATACAGGAACATTTAATTGAACGTATTGTAATGGTGTAAAATAAAACGGATTTGCTTAACTAAACACTGAATGAAAAGTGACCTTCAGAAATACTCACAGGAAATATTTGGATAAATTTACTGTAAGCTGTGAGTTGGGGGGGGGTAAAAGCAGCAGAGTGTATGTATTCAGCTGTGACCAGCTATGTGGAAGCCGAGTTTGGGTGTCAAATGCCTCGTTTCCACTGAGCAGTACGGCGAGGGTCGGGTAGACGCGCCATTTTATCCGTTTCCATCGTAAAAACGCCGCACACCGTTTTTGGGTTCCCTTCAGTTGTAGGAACAGTGAGGTTAGGGCGAAGCTACTGGCGTCACACAGCACAGTTCATTGATTGGTGGACATAAAAACGAGAAATACTAGAGCATCACAGTTGCTGTCACGCTAGTATGACGCCATGTTAGCCGTTTGGTTTTAACCACGTCTGAAAGCAAGAGTTCAGTTAGTGGCGGAAATGCTCTTGGGAATACGCCATATCGAACCGACCCGACCAGTGGAAACGAGGCAAAAGGGTGCTGCAAAAACAGCTAATCTACACGAGCCTTCAGAGCAGGGTGGAGTAATGGTGGCCTCAATATGGTCCACACATGAGCACAGTAGGTTGGCTCATCTTGTGCCATAATTTCCCTAGTTGAGCATCTGGTCAGGCAAATTCAGGCATTCCCATGAAGACACCCCCGTTCCCTTTCCAAACCCACCTCAGAGTAAAATAAAATAAACCAACCATCATGACTTTGGCTGACACACTGGCTGAAACCTAACCTCTGCCTCCTGCCCGTTCACTTAATCTGCCAGAACTCTTTAAAAAATAGTTTATCATGCTGCTTAATTACTGCAGATGTTTTAACGCTCAGCCCGAGCCGGACTGTAATAATATCCGGAAAAACATTCTCCATTACGGGAACCTGAGGCGGATGCAGATTTTTTCTGAGAGCAGCTTTTAATCATTCAAAAGTTTCTTCTATTCACCGAAGAGAAAAGGATTCCTCGTTTCGTCTTTTTGGTTAAAGCGTAAATATTCTTAAACGACCTGATATTTTCCTGTTGGTGTGATCCTAAAATCCATTCTTGACTGAAGGACTCATCATTAACTTTGAAGTTAGCAGTTCTATCAATCCATTTCCAAACAATAAGAGAAATGCAGGCAGAGACATGGCTTCCAACAGCGACCCAGGCAGAATGTCTCAGGTCAAGTTTGGCCCTCTGCAGTGGGGGCCCTGCAGCTTTCAAGTGTCTGAAGAGTTCCTCCTGGCTTAGTCCAAGTCCTGCTTGGCTTCTGCTCTCCTCCACCAAGCTTTGATGAACCTCTCCACAGGGCTTACTTGCTCTTCCATCTCAGGTGTTCCTCTCTGTGCTCGGAATGATTAGCTGTGAAGCCAGACTTCAAAACGGGGCGGTCGGCATACAGCGTACGTGCTGTTTAACTTGGTAACGTTGTGAAAATGTAGGTGGTGTCCTTGAATGTGAGCGAAACCCACCAACCACAGCAGACAGATTTTTCTTGTGAAATCTTTGGAACGAAACACTTCGTATAGGTGTAATCACATCTATATCTGTCGTTCCTCGAGGTGCCAAAAGCTGCATTTGAAGGATTAACTAGACTTTTTTTTCCCTAATGAGTGTGTTAAGCAGTTTCCCTCCCCATACATTTCATTTATTTATTTTTACAAAATATAAAGAAAAATTTGAAACAAAATAATTTTTTAATATCAACTTGTATTTGTTTTTATTTTGCGCCTTTTATTGTTATATCTACTTCTATTTCTACATTTAATTTTAATTTCTTTTATTTTACAGATTTATTCTTATTTTTGCAGATTTTTTAAATTAGATTTTTGTGTTCATATATTTGTATTTTTCATATTTATTTTACCAATCTCCATTTTTACACAATTAATTTTATTCTATTTTATATCTGTTTAATTTTTACATATTCATTTTATTTTAATTCATTTGGTTATTTTTACACATTTATTTTTATTTCTTTATTTTTTTAGAAAGTAGTAGTCTGATGTAACAGCATGTTTGATGGATGAAAGCCAGTTTATTCAAACTACAGCTTCTTTAGAAAAACACTACGCAGCCCGCTGGGAGTCAGCGTGGCAGGACTGGCGGGGATATGAGCAGTTTCACAGTAACAAAATGTTCACCATGCTTTGACTCCCTGAAGGAAGCCGTTATTTATAGCTTCATATATATTTAACTGATTTTTCTCCGTAAAAAAAAAAAAAAAAAAAGCAAAAGGAAGAGAGGGAAGAAAAGCAGATGTCGAAAATTGTTCAGCATAATCAAAGTATGGCAAGCAACAAATCACAGAAGCTTGAATGAAAAATTCACTCTGCAGTTCTTTGCAAAAGTATTCACACCCTCTAAACTTTTCCACATCTTGTCATGAAGTCCAATCTAGATCCTACAATCACAACTACAGTGACATTTTTGTCTATTCCTCCAAAATCACTCAAACTGAGTGAGATGAGATGAAGAGCACAAGTTGAATAACATATAAAACCCTGACTTTGACTGAGCCACTCTCATTTGATCTAAACCATAACATTGTGCTGGAGTTAGGCGATCTTCTTGCCCTGGTTTCAAGTCTTTTGCAGCCTTTAACTAGATTGCTTTCTTGATTTTCCACCTATCTTCCCATCAACTCTGACCAGCTTAAATGTCCCCACTGGGGGAGGAAAAAAAAACATTTCCACAGTGTGACCCTGCCAGTTCTAAAAGGTTGTTCAGGTTGTCAGGTTTTCCGTCATAAATAGTGCTTAGGATAAACTGCAGCCTAATTTAGGTTGATAGAACACATAAAATCATAATGGATCCAAATGGCGGTTAATGACTGAAAGGGCAATCACAATGGAATGAGAATTCACTTAAAAAAAAGATGTCAAGACAAAGAGTTCACATGGGAAATAAATACTCAGAAACCCAGCTCAGAAATAGGCAAATGGTATAAAAAAATCTACTCAATTCACAGGCTTTATATCAAATCAGAAATAATATCACATTTTAAAACACGACTATATCTTTTGATTTAGGAACTCCTACCAAAGCCATAATTATAAAAAATGAATAAGAAAGGCAACAGATACTCTCAGTATTTCAACACATTTTCTGCTTTCAAGTTGCTAAAAAAAAACAATCACCAAGATAAATCTTATTGATGAGACGAAAAGATGACAATATTGACACCATGGCTGCCACAGAGATGAAACTGAGTTGGGTAAGAACCTTCTGGAACCACAAAGCGACCAGAAATGATCTCCAACCAGATCGCACGGAGCACCGACCTGCTTTTTGCGAAGCTTGCAGATCTGTTGCTCCACCATGGTGATCTCCCTGTCCACACGTTCCATGTTCTGAATCAGCTCCTCCTTGGAGAACCGAGCCGGAACCAGGTCCAAGTCGGTGTCCATGTGGACTGGGCTCACCGGCGAGATGGGCTCCAGCTTCCCGATGGCACTTCCACGCTCCTGTGAACCCCAACGTAGCAAAGGTAAACATTACATCGAGCTGAAGAGGGAGATTTTCACAAGTAGAGAAACCAGAAGATATGTTTGAAAGAATCTGTAGTGAGTGATGAATAATTGAGTCAAGGTTTGGAAGAGAAGTTCTCACATTTGTTTTTAAATCAATAACGCTCATTAACCATCTGCAGAATGTGCCATTTTTTACTGATTAATCATCAGAATAATCAATAGAATAATTGATTACTAAAACAAATCGTCAGTTGCAGCCCTACTCTCAAACTGTTACAAAGATTTAATTAAGATGTGTGACAAAGCATTAATTCATGAAAGCTGACAACAATATTAGTTAGTGAATGGACAAAATGCAAAACAACATAATGGGCACGCTTGTGCAGGAGGGCAAGAATCCATTTGTTCCCGATGAGCGACTGTGTTTGTTCTGATGTTATAAATATATGAGGCCACGATGGAGCCAGTCCTCCGTACAAGTGTGTGTGTGTGTGTGTGTGTATGTGCGCGCGCGCGTGTGTGTGTAGGAGTGAGAGCCATCCAGCTTGGGTTTTGTTCTGCGTTATTTTTAAACATCTGAAATGAAGGTTATGTAAGTGGGCTAATCTGGACTAGGCAGGCAGCATTACAGCCTTGTAGACCTGCTGTGATTGAAAATGTCAGAGCCAGAGGATGTTGAGCGGCTGTCCTAGATTAAGAAGCCCACAGTTGCCAAAGCCTGTGAGTCAGAAACAAACAAACACACACAAAAAAGAAGAAAAAAAAATGTCAAACTAGGAAAAAGCACTCGCGGGATGTTTTGACTTTGTCTAATCTGACAACCCTGAGTGTGAATCAAGGCACCGTTTTCGTAACCCGTGTTAAAACTCAGCATCCCGGAAAACAACCGAGGACAGATTAGACATCCTAAAACGTTTCACTTCTGCTTATAATTCCAGCCTTGACTAGTTTTTTTAATTAAAGAGATTAAAATGTATCTAAGGATAAACAATAAAAGTTATCCGCTTTTTGTTGACTGGTATGTTCAGCCAAAGAGGGAGCAAAATGTTTACCTGTGTATCTGAGCCATGTTCTGAATTCAATGTGCAACAACTTAATGTGAAGCAGTCAGCACGGAGTCCAGGCAACATCTCTACCTCATCCTCACCTTTTTTCTCAGTTGAGATTATTTGAAAAGCAATAATAATAATTTAAAAAAAAAAACAAGTTTGAAACTTGAAGTGCAAATAGCAGCAGACCTTCTCCGCCTGTAGATTCTGGCGTACAGCAACAGAGTTGTTGCTTCTGGCCGCCTGTTTCCCATTCTATATGAGTCATGCTCCAGGCATCAGCTTTGTCAGATACTACTGGCTCACTCCCTCTTTTCCTGTCAGTCTCCAAGTCCTCCCTTTCCCCTTCCCCCATTATCTATGCCTCTCTGCGCCTGCCCTTTGCCACTTCTTTACGTTGCTTCCTGCATTCTATCAAGCTATTGTATTGCGCTCTTGTTCCAAGCAGTGATTGCATCTGACTCCACTTATGTAACAGGTTTACACTCTTGCTGCTTTAAGGGAAAGCACAAGGATTCCTGAATACCCTCCCCTCGCGCTCCTCCTCCTGTGTTATTACTGTATCTATTTACCATTCTCTGGCTGTCTGCCTCTCCTGGCAGTTTGAGGCACTCCGTCATGTCAGAGACGCCTCACAATCAGCAGCTCCGCACAGCAAGCAAGTCATTCTGATCTGTTGCTCACAGCTTCATCCCCTTCAGTCTTTTGAAATCTAGGTCAGCTCTATTATTTATTAATTGCAGTTTCACAACTCCCTTGGTTTTCCTCTTCTGCTGCTCCAAAGATCCATCTCTGATTTAGAGCAGAATCCTCTTCTGCATCCCCTGCTGCGACAAGTTCAATGAAATCCTTTAGGTTTCTTAAAGAGTCTAGTCGGATTATCCAAATAAGTTAAATCTTAAACAGATACGGTATTATATTTCAGGGGGAAAAAAGAAAAGAAAAAAAAGAGGCAGAATCTTAACTTTGTATTATCACTTCTAAGGATCGTCTTGTAGGGTGTTTTCAGACCCGATAGTCTGGTAGACGCAGTTCGACTGGCAGCCAGAAATGTTATATTTGTTACATGGTGCGGTTCATTTTCACACTGCACTGTGTCAAATGATCTAAACCCCTTTGAGAAACCTGTTCCTATCCTCGCCTGTGGTGGCGCTGCACCAAGAACCGCTGACGGAAACGACACAAAAACCTCAGAAGGCACGAGCGTGACTTATTTCTTCGCAAAATGTAATGGAGTAGCATCAGATTTTAGCGGTTTTAGTAGGATTCCTCTATTGTTCTGGTAAAAAGACCACGACAACAGCGCTAGACTCTCGTGATTGTTTCGTTGCATTTACCCAGAATTCCCTTTTTGGCGCGGTTTCCAGTCCGCTTGGCGTCTAAATATGCGCCAGAGTTCACTTCAACCAAAATGAGACAGAGGTTTGAATTTTTGGAGTTTGATTAGATATTCACACCTCCCAAAACGAACCAGACTTTTCTAGGCAAATGAACAACAGTTAGATTAAAGCAAACTAAACAGGGCTGTTGTGAATGCACCCGTAATTCCCAAATCCTCCAAACTAATAGAATATAGTTAATATCAGTTCTTACGGGTGAATTCAGTATGATACACTAAATTGATACCATACGTTTTACATGTTTCTCACCTTCGTCATGTCCTCAGCCCCTCCGAGAGGTAACGGCTGCCGGTGGGACAGAGGCCTCATCAGAGAGTCCGATCCCATCTCCAAACGAGGACGTTTGATCTCTGCATAGTCCACCTCTGACTGGCTGGGGGCCTCCGGCAGGTAGATGTGCTCATAACGGATGTGCTGCTCTTGTCCTCTGAAAGGAAGATAAGACAGTTGTAGCAAAAAGGTTTTTGAGCTTGGTTATTGCTTTTTACTAATTAACGCCTAATAGGCGCTGGACACAAGCTGCGCAGAACTTTAGCGTTGCCATAGAGATGCGGTTATATTTGTGGACGAGTATTCTTTCTGAATACAGTCAGACGTGTTTTGCAGTTTAAACTACAATAATAAAAAAAAACACCACATAAGTGAGCTGGATGGCATTTCATAATAAACTCATGTAAAGAAAAATAAAATAACAGAATCACGGCCCACTGTACCGAACTGATATGCCATTTGTGGGAAAAAAGGGAACAAATGGTGATCTAGCCTGATGTAAACAGTGTTTTGTTTATGTTACTGTTCATCCAGACTGGCTTCTCAGGAGAAGAGTCATTTTGTTGTGCTCTGCAGCAGAAAGCTCATAAATCCAACTTGTCTTTGGGTAACTTTTCTTGTCATGAAATGACAGAGGATTCATGGCAGGGAGCTTTTGTTGCCATTCATTCTCAACGTCAGCTTAGCATTCAACATGCTAAGCTGGTACATTCCTGCTCAACGCAGGGATGTACCAGAGTGCATTCAATTATATTTTTAAATGACTGGTATTAGAGTTAGAACAGCCCTGGTTTAAAACCAAGCAAATACTTATTGTTGATTTGAATGATTTAACGGACCAGGACTCTGCATCAGCAAATGCCTTCTTTTAGACGAAACCCTTGTCATGTAGGAATGACTCCCAGTGAGACGGACACTTCATTTAAATTACAGCCACGGCACACATTCAAATCAACATGAACCAAGAGAAAAATAACCAAAAACAAATTAAAATAAGCAATGAAAAGGAGTTCTACGCAGATGTTAAAATTCACTTGATGATTAGACGCTGATACTTTCATTAAACCACTTGTTAAATTGCTTTTTGTTCTTTCGAACCAAATGGGTTTTTCTTTTTACCCTCGACCCCACCCAGGAGACAGAAGCCATAAGGTCAAAGCCCTTGCTGTCAGTGCCAAATTGGAGGCGGCTTGTAAAAAGAAGAGAAAGAACACAACCATAATTGCTGGTCAAGGCACACAGTGGTCTGGTCTGTGGTTTTGTTCTTTCTGTGGAGTTCAGTTATTGAAGGGAAGGTGTAATAATCAATAACATCTAAAAACTGAGAGACATTTACAAAGAACGTGCAACCAAAGGGACTGTGAAAGTGTTTACTGTGTGTATTAATTAAAGCATCATTTTATTAACCCTCCTGTTGTCCTCGGGTCACTTTGACCCGAGGACAACAGGAGGGTTAAAGCATCAGTGGGTGACTTTAGTAAAAAAAAAAATTATTATATATTTTTTTACATATTTGCTAAAACTATCACGTGTCGTGATAGTTTAATATGAAATCCATAATCTGTGGGGATGGGAGGAATAAAAAAAATTGAGCACCCCTGACTTCTCCCAGTGCGAACCAGAAACAGCCAATCAGAGGCAGGAGGAGGGTCATAGCGCTGTCAATCATGGCCACGTGCGTGCTGCTTGCCCCCTCCTTCTGTCTCCTCTTTGCTATCTGCTAACACATGAATGTTAAGACTAGTTAGCATGGTCACCAGTGAGGTTTTCCTGTAAGAGTAAGTTGTTTCTCTGTCATTAGCACATTTAGCAGTGTGTACACAAGGTTGATTGACAGCACTAAAACCCTCCTCCTGGCTCTGATTGGTTGTTTTTGGTCGCCAGCGGTCCATTTCTTCAGACAACAACACTAGCTGGGAGGAAGTGGAGGAGATCGATCTTTTCACAGATTACACGGTGACACTTTTAATATATATGTAAAAAGCATATTTTTTATAAAAGCTAAATACTGCCGCGTTAAGCCCAAAGATAAAAATCTTCCAAAGATCTGGCCCATGTCCGACACCAACATGGTGTGTAATTGCCTCCCCGCTTTTGAATGTAATTTCTCACTCATTTGCTGGAACACTTCTGCATCTCCATATGAGGTTTGGCACTTACACAATCACATCACCCAACTCCAGCCCCCCCTGACCTATCCCCCTCTACCTCCTGTGAGCATACAGAATAATCTCGCCCCCAGGGAGGATTTGCCTGGAGGACAAGACAAAGATGTGTGTGGAAGCTGGGGGGGAAAATTGAAAGGGGGGGGGGGGGGCGCTCATCACAACTTCCCTCAACAGCTCCATTACTTTCCTACTGGTTTGGGCCGCGCTACGACAGGAGCAGAGAAGGTGTGTGTAGACAGCAGCCTGTTGTTGTGAGAGCCTTAAAGTGTTTGTGTGGTGGCTGATCTCTCCACTTCTCCCCAGAGGAGCAGCTCTGCAGCTGTGTGTAAAGCCAGGGATGGTTAACAGAGAGAGAGAGATGCCTGGCTGAGGTAGCCACAGCTGGAATGAATGAAACCTTACAAAGAAAGTACAGGAAAGTACCAAATGGCCCAACAGCCTACTACCAGAGGACAATAATGGTTTCAGGTCCTGTGTGGTAATAAAAACTAAATAAAGGAATAAATTATGTATGTTTTGGTGGAAATCAATCTGATTTTGGGATGCTTTGTGGTTTATGAGGAGAGATGAAGAAAGGAAATGAAGCCTCGATGGATCATTAGGATTGGACCAGTTACCGATCTCGAGGTATCTTGAGGTTTCAGCGAGTTACTGCTTCAAAAAGCTCTCAGGTTTTCCATCATGCTGCTTCGATGACTTAAAGTCTACTTATTAATGCAACAGAGGCATTTGCTACAGTAATATGGAGAACAAAGTTACAGCATGTACCTTCCCCAGCTGCTACCGGCCAGCTGGCTACAAAAAAAGAGAAAAAAAAAAAAAAGGTTTCTACACATTTCCCACACTTATAAAGAAATTAGATCAGGCTGTTTGGAAATATTTCTGGTTGCAAAAAACAGATGTGGCCGACAGCCATATTATAGAAGCTCAAAGAGCCACTCCCATTACTCTTACAAAGATAGCCACATCTGCTGACTAATGCACGTCTGCTCAGCAACTGACTGCAGGTTATTAGTCAGCAGACAGTCTGACTAATGAACCATGCTAATATCAGTTTCTAATACCAGCAGTGTTGATCTTTAGACCAGCAAAAAAGACATAATATTCTGTACAATAAATGCTTTAGCAGGTGTTTTAACCATGTTTTTTTAATCAAAACATATTTAAAATTAAAAGTCAATATACTGTATTGATTTTGCAGCAGCAGAAGTAAGTGCTTTAAGTTATTACTATAACGATAAGATTACTGTTGATGCTGCATGATATGTCGCAAATATACGTGTTCATCCAGATATTAGATATTTGTCATTTCAGTTAGAAATGCCTGGAGTACAATAATTGTAGGCTAATGTATTTCAAGTGTTATGCTAAAGTAACTTTTAGTCAATGGTCACAGAGTGATTGAAGCACAGAAGAAGAAAATAAGCATATATATTCTCCCAGATATCATTGTGGCAATATCTACAAAAATCACCATGACAAATTTTCAAATATCATGCAGAACTAGTTATTGTACCGTAAAAATATAATTTGGGCAAATGCCTAGTGTGTAATATTTTACATATTTTCCACAGAGCTTTAGAAAACTCATATTGATAATGGGGATGGATTTCGCACACAATTGTGAAACAAAATGTTATTGATGAATTCTTGATTAAACAGGATTTCCCCAGGAAATCTAGCTAAGCCCAGCAGTAGGAGCACATATATATTACCTAGCTTAACTCGTCTTTGCCATCACTGTCATTGGTGAATAGAAAAACAAATTAATACATGGGAAAAAAAACAAAAAAAAAAACACTTAGTCTGGGGATAGGAGCAAGTAAAGCCTGGTGGCTCGCCAGGCTTATAATACACTGGTTAGAAACCCTGTTTCATTAATGTCAATCTAAACAAGAAAAACTAGATTTTTAAAGAGAAAAAACAGTGGTGTAGAAATGGACGACATAGGGACTGATGATGGAGGACCAAAGAGCAGAAAGAGAAGAAGGGAGTTCAAGCCATCTTTTCCACTGATCATAATGGTGAAAGATCATATTCCCAATTTACAACAAATCTCAGGCTGGCTTTCTAGTCATACGGCAATTTAAAGAAGTGTAGCAAAAGCAAATGAGGGGGATTAGCAGAGCTTTCTATGGAATGTCTTGTTTGCTGGCCTGGAAATTGTGCCGTCATACAGCAACAGTCTTTTAAGCAACATTGCACATGTCTATTGTGTACGTATGCAAGCTGTGAAATATGTGGACACACCCAACTGAAAAAGTCAAGTGCACCACTGTGAGTCTGAACCCAGGATCATACCACAATTTTAAAGATTAATTGTGGTGACTGAGCATTTAAATGCAATCAGAAATAAAAAGGTTCAGTAAAACAACAAACTAAATTAGTTACAAATAATGTTACAAGTTCCAGGATTCATTAAAAAGTGGCATCTCTTTGGTTTAAGAAGTAAATTTGTTCACAATATAGCCCTAGTTACTGACAAGAGAACCAGCCAAAAAAAAAAAAAAAAAAAAAAGAAAGAAAGAAAAAGCTCTCCCTCTCTTCAGGAGCCAGGGATGATATTCACTGGTTATGAAGAGGTTGTCATGAATGTTGCCTGGAGTGAGGATGAAGATGGAACATATCAAGGAGCACTACAGAGATTATTCTGTTGTGGGTTTCTGGCCTATAATTAGCTTACATTTCAAACATTAGCAAAATAGCACATTGCTGCTTTGCATTCTGCGCACAACGAGCAGGGAGGAGGTGAAAATCCTCGCAGAGAAAAACCCAGACCAAGATCTTTGAAAGTCCTATGTGAACAACAATCAGAGTAGTTCAAGTAAAGAGAGAGAGTTACTGAGATGTATAAAAAAAGACGAGCACACATCTAAGCAAAGCAAAGTCTAAAGGATTGCCAAGGCCAGAATTACAGCAGAATTCAGAGTCTGAATGAAAACGCAGAATGTGGCCTTCAGTTTGGATACTAAGCCTTCTGAAGGAATGGAGAAAGCCTTAGACATTCTTCTGAAAGACTGCCCACCCCCCGATGCCTGCCAGCATATAACTGAGGCTCTTTTTCACAGATTCTACAAAGAAATGTGGGCTAGAGGTATGCACTCTTTTATATATATATAGATGATGGTTTTCTTTCATCTACAAAAAAAAAAAAGCTAATTCCCTGCTTCACTGAAGAAGTTACAGGAAGGCATCTGTAGTGCAGAAACATGGACCGAGTCATTTCTGGGAGGCTGCCAAAGCACAAGTGACTGAATGAAGGGTGTCAGTGAATCAGAAGCTGGTGGGTTGCATTTGAAGTATGGTGTGTTTATTTCCCTGCGGGGGCCGAGACCCAGAGTTAACATGCTGACGGGCGAGGCTAATAGCCATTAAGCATCGCCGGTGTACAGATTTATGTATTAAAATTCAGACTATAATCCCGTCTGATGCTTAAAGACATCAACAAAAAAGCCCTACGTTGCTACAGAGTCACTCTACCATCTGCTGCTACCACTGCCATCAATCCTGGAGGACTCGGTCCTGAAAAGCAGCCACTGCGCCAACACGTGGACGTGAAAACAATACTCGGAGCTCATCGCTTGCTGAACACCTTGCGTCTTTTGATGCATGCAAGAAAATATTGAGAGAGAAAGAAACTGATCCGAGGAGACATTTTCTTGTGATGCGTTTCTCTGCGAGTCATGCAAAATTCACATCCTGCACATGAATCATTCATAGGTGCTCATCAAGTCTTGCCCTCGAAAACCCATCTCTATTTAAACGGCGCAGAACACTGCCAGGTACAAGCCCCAGGTATGCAGAAACAAAGTACTATTCATTCGCGATTTACAGTTGGTTTACTGAAGATGGAAAATTTCCTCAGGCCCCCAATGCCCTGCAGAAGCGTTTGACACAACATTATGAAAGGAGAACAGCTCGCGGCTACCAATTACATAAGGATTACTCGGGGGAAGGCGGGGGGTTAACGGGCAGAGGCTTTGGTAGAACAATGCTGCAGAAAAATGCAGATGGGATGAGGCTCTCCGTTCAGCAGGCAAACCTAAACACGAACTGATTTGCTAGAAATAAATCAAAGCAAACCGCAACATTTTAGCACCAACAAGTTGATATCTGACCAGCTACATCGACGTTGTGTAATAAAACACTAATTTCTCGTCAGAACAATTACTGATGGATAAAAAAATATGGTGCCACAAACTCGTTGGGAACAGAAATAAACACCACAAACACCCTGAATTAATGGATATTTGAAACAGTGAAGATGCAGTCGGTTTCATAAATTACATCTCACCAGGCACATCCCCAGTCTGTGCCTGGTGGCACAGACTGGGGATGAGAGGACAATCAAAATTTTTGACACGTATCTGTAATGACAGCTATTGTACTTTCCCACTTGTTGGTATACAGCAACTGCAAACTTCTTCCTAAAACTTCAGCTGACGTACACAAACAGAATTGTGACATGGGAGCCATCATGCATGATTTTCTAAAACAAAACTTTTCACTGCAATTACAGCTGAAAGTCTTTTGGGGAACGTCTCTACTGTCTTTGTGCTTTTCTAACAAATGAATATGCATTGACCTAAGCAAGAGGTGCACAACTCTAGTCTGGATTCTACATGACAACACATAGAAATTTGTGATTGTAAAATACAAGGAGTATGAATACATTTAAATGAACTTAACGAGTAAACTGCTTCTACCTTTCATTCCCAGGCTGGAACTCTGAAAGTAAGGAAGGCCGACGGCGATGCGGCTGGGCCAGATGAGAGCTGTAATCCCTGGCATGATGGGAGTGGTAGTCGACCAGTCCCACTTCCTGGAATACATGAAGAATTTACACAGTTTATAACGTTATTAAAATCATCCCATTTACATTTATTTCTGTAAGCCCTTTACATGTTTTATGACATATATTCTCAAGCCAGACACATTTCTCGCGCAACGTTTAGCAATTTCCAATTCTCTTTTATCCACTGGCTTCTTGGATAAATAGGGTGAAACATGCAGCTACAGTAAACCTGTGCCTTTGTCATTCGGGAGCTGCAGGACACAGCCCATCAACCCGCATCTGGTTGCGAATGTGATGACAAGTGGGAGCGGTGGGATTAGCAACAGGTGTAACTGTGGGAATCTCGGGGGATAAAGATTTGAATTCTCCAGTCATGCAACAACAAAGCAAGTTTCGGCAACACTGGAGCTCATGAATGCGTTCACCGCTCAACAAGAGGCGCGATCGTTTGAAGCTGCTCCGCACATAATCCTGATAATTAGGACATGTTTGCAAAAACATAGAGAAAGGCCTTTATGCGACTCCACAACATGAACTTTAAACCCAAAACATTTAATGAGGGGAAACTGTTCCGGTGTGCCGCCTTCTAAACTTAGCAATGTTTCTGTTGGACTGAGGCCCTCTCCGGTTTAGAGAACCACTTTGCTCTCTAGATTTTCAATGGAGGAGGGGGAGAGAGAGAGAGAGAGAGAGAAAGAGAGAGAGAGAGAGAGAGAGAGAGAGAGAGAGAGAGACCCTCCGCCCCCCACTCCCGCTCTGTTCTACAAATGTTTCCAACTGCTGGAGGTGGGTGAAAAGCCCCTTACCGTGTGTGGCCGCTGCAGCTGCAGGGACAGCGTGGCAGGGTTGTGCAGGTGCCGTGAGTCCACAGTTCTCCGGCCTGGCGGCACAGACTGGGGATGAGAGGACATGCTGGCACCGCCGCTTCCTCTACAAGCAGGGAGAGGGTGTGGCTGTCAAGAAAGTGCCATGCATTATGGGCCGTATCTCTTAGCCTGCAACCTGTGGTGAGAAGGGGGGAAAAAAAAAAAAAAAAAAAAAAAAAGAATTGAGAAACCAGAAGAAGGCTCGGATAAAGCATTGTGGACAATAACATGAAAGGAATAAAGCTATTAAAATTTCTGTTGAAGTTGAGTAAGATCTTAGCGTGACCTGGCAAGTACTAGCTGACCACCTTGAGGTTTAAGTGTGCATGACTATCTACATTGAATATCGGAGAATCATCACCTTCCTACCACAGCTGCTTCCCCCTTCCACCGCTTCGAAGATAGAGGACTAAGTCCCTGCACCTGCTACGCTCAGCCCCTCTGCTACTGCCCGATGAATGGCCCACTGTCCTGAAACTGCATACTCGCATGCAAAGATCACTTGCAAAACTACAGACAGCAATCAGAGGAAATAAAAAAAAATTAAAAAAAAAACTCCTGGCCAGATAAGACACATGCCCTGAATAAAGAAAAAGCTACTTTTTCTTTTTTGCTACACATTATCTAAACCACTGAACCAAGTTGAATGCACACATCTAGCAGTGTGCAAGATAAACATCCAGGCTCTGACCTTTAACACATTCAGAACTACATGCTTGAGAAAAGGTGCACTAGTGAGAAGGATGTCAGTGGCAAAACTTAAAAAGACTAAAACGTATGATTTTACTGTGTCAAGCACACAATGAAGGTGATTGAACCTCACAAAGGTTGCACCTACGTGATTCCGCCGAGATGCAGAAATAGGTCCTTACAAAGTGTGCAGGCTTAAAAAAGAGAGAGATACCGTGTAACAAAGACGTACATATTATGGATAAACATCAAAGCTCTCTTGGTATGGGTGTGCTGTGGTGGCGCAAGGGTTAAGCACAACCCACATATGGATGCCTTAGTCCTCGATGTGGCTGTTGCAGGTTTGATTCCCGGCCTTGGCGACCTTTACTGCACATCTTCCCCCTATCTTATTACCCCACTTTCCTGTCAATTGACTATCAAATAAAGGCCACTAGAGCCAAAAAAAATTATATATATATATATATATATATATATATATATATATATATATATATATATATATATATATATATATATATATATATATATATATAAAAAGCCCTCTTGTCAATGGGAGAAATTGTAAAAAAAAAAAAAAAAAAATTCTAAACGTGTAAACTCTTATTGACTGTAGCTTTGTAGTCCATGTGCCTGCCTGTGTTCCCTACAAATTCCTACAAAAGTTGTTGAGCAGCATTTTCTATGATATAATTAGATAGGTCTGTGGTTAATTCAGGCTGTGTGACGGTGAGAGAGACATTTTCAAGAGGTAGCAGAAAGGCTGTATTGAAAGTTGCCTGATTTTTTTCCTTCTGAACTTCCAACCCATGTCTGTTATGCTGGATTGGAAAATGTTGGCAGGAAAGGTGGACATTTGTTGTATCGTTTATTGTGAAAGCAATGAATTTTGATTCATCGCCATCACAATAAATGTAAATGAATGATGTTTAAACCACCACCAAAACTGTCTATATTGTTGAGACAGTTAGTTTTACTATTTTTCTCCTCTCTTTCTTTATTGAGAATATCAATAAATAACAATACATTTTACAGTATTATTACATGCAGTTACTGTGAGCAGTTTTGCAATACAAATCACAATTTATGTGACTGGTGTCCTAAAGAAGCACATTGCAAGCCGGTATGTTTTTCAAGAGCAGTTCTGTGTTTGTGGTGCTATGATTGGTATGACAACATGCAGTCACAGTGATATAATTGCCTACAAAAGCAGTAATAAATAGCTCATATTGTCACTTTTATCGTTATCACAATAGTACCACAGAATGTATAATAAGTCCATATTGCCCACCCCTAATTGGCAGCCATTCAAAAATGTCAGAGTTAAGATGATAACAATCCACAGGCTTTCACATAGACTGTTTAAGTAACGCTGGCTATGCTAATCCCTCTTGCTAGTAAAAATGTCACGTCCAAATACATTTTCACCGTTTTAAAATACAATATTAGTCAAACGTGCTGCACTAAAGTGAGCTGCTTCCACTTCAAATATTACATTGGACACAACCATTTTTAACAGTGTTCTTAAATCCCCTTCAGGTTTCCTAAAGAGAAACTAACATAGTGCAAAAAAATGAATGTTGTCCGTTCAAAGCCTTAGAAAAAGAATGAAAATCATTAACAACATTCTGTTTGGTGTGTCTGTGTAGGTAAATCAGGTCAGATAGTATGATTTTACTGTGTAGAAGTCTTGCACATTACATAATCCCTATTATCTCAAAATGGAGTTATGTAGTCATGGTGCTACAGTAAATATTTCAAGAAAAAATCCTTACAATGTTTTCAGGCTTAAGAAAATATACAAGAATTTAAAATAAACGGGAGGAGAGCCGTTGTGCAACAGAGCGCATAAAAAGATTTAACTCATACCTAACTTTCGAAACAAAATAAAAAAAGAACCTATAAAATTTTTTGAAATATGTAAAGAACTGAACTGAAATTCAGCAATGTGAATGTGAATCAACATTTTAGACAGAATAAACCAGATACTGAATCCTATTTGTCCTTCATGCAACAGCTATTGTTTTTGCTAGCATAAGTAAAACGTTTGTCCCTGCTCTACAGTTTCAAATTACCATCTATGTTCAATAATATAAGGAATTTCAAACCCTTATTAACCTAACTGAACAATTTATTCCAATATACCCAATTTTCAGAGCAGGAGACTGGTCTCCATTCGACCGCGTAGTCCAACCGTACTTCCTGAAAATCACTGGTATCCTGCTACTGAACATTTCACGCTTTAAGAAATCTTTATGCTTTGCTTTTGGATCTTCCCTGAATAGAAACAATATGTGCTCAATAAAATATATCAGATACAGCACAATCTCTTGTCGTCCAGCTTGTGGCCGTGACGCTCTCAAGCAGACATGCATGCATGTAATAGTACTACCAGGCTGACTAAGGCTTGTGACGTGTCCCTGCTGCTCTTGCCAACAAAGAAATAAGGACTCCTGCAATTTCTTTCAGCCTCTGACGAGCGACGCCTCGCTCCCTCTTCAGGTTTCGTTGCCATGCGAGGCACACAACAGGAGGCAGAGTGACAGAAATATGGACCAAAAGACTAACTCCTTGAAGTCTTGACAGAACAGTCAAGTGTTCTGAGTGGACTGCAATTGTGCCCAGTGACAGAAAAGCTGCCACTCCCAACTCAGCCTTCACTGCCTTGCTAGATGACAATTTCAACCCAGGACACTATAAAACCGACATTATTCTACGCAGACTAAAAGCCAAAAAGTATTCTCACGCCTGTATTTTTCAAATCATGAAACTAAAGGTGTCTATGCTCCACTTGGCCTCTACAACCACGTTTGACATTGCGCAGAGAAAACAAGAAGGTTCTGACTTTTCTGGTTGCTGCAGAAGCTTCCTACAAAACAATCAACACCCAGATAGAGGTTCATCGATTTCAGCTTTTTCACAATAGCACACAAACAACTACTGGCCTCTCTTTGACCTACTTGACAATTTGCCCCTTAGCCACGAGAAATCCAATCTTTATACAACTAGTTAATGCACCACAGCCAGGCAGTAGTAGCATGAGGTAACACCAAAACTCCTCAGTGTGGAAGTTGCTGCTGAGAGAAGAGGATTCAATGCAACTCATCGTTGGTTCCATAAAAAAGCAAATCAAAAACTGAGACCCAGAAATTTATTTTGAGAGAAACCGTATTACCGAAGAGATGTTGCAACTTTATCTGTGGTTCAATCAAGATGCAGGAGAGTGAGACCTCAAAGGAGATAACAAGAAGGCTAAACGGAGTGCAGCAAATCTGCCAATTTAGACGTTGCAGTATTCTTCTACTTCAGGGTAAGACGACGACTTGCTCCAGGCTAAAGCATGTCAGACAAAACCTGTTTAATCTGTCAGCTATGTGAAGAAGCAGCTGCTGAGAAACACCGAGTCACTATGAAACGGTTTCACCTTCTAAACAATGTTGCTGTTTGCAGACAGTCTACTTTCTAGGCAGGCACACAAGAGAGATCACTGTTGGGCTCGAAAGAGCGCCAGCATGGCCGCCATGAGAAGAATGCATCATTCTTCTCCATGACAACAGACAAATGTAGCATAATGGAGGCCTGTCACGATAACTTTTGATGGGCGATAAATAATTATTGCGAGAAACGGTAATATTATGAAGACCCTTTTCAAGTGATACGTTGATAATGGCATAATAATGCAAGTTCGCCCTCAAAAATCAGTAAGTTGTAAAGAACACTCCAAACTGAAACTGGAAGATATCTTCAATAGCCAAAATAAAATATAACAAAAAAAACAATAAATAAAATTAAAATAAAGTATTTTCAGCCACAACCATCAACAAAATTGATTATGATGTCTCCAAACAAAATTGCCTTTCAAAAGTTCATTTTAATTTATCATGAGATGAATTGATTGCTTAATGCTTAGAATAATGTGACCCACAAATATGTGACATTACTCCCATTTTAGGTCACAGGTTTTGCATTTTGTTGCTAGAATAATTTTCATATTTGAATTTTCAAGAACCTCAGAGTATTTTTCTCCCTCCCACCACGATTCTGCATGAGACATCCATCATGTTGATTAAGTTGGGTGAGAAACCTCAAACCCAATCAGTACTGTGTGCTTTGGCTGCTGATTTGCTGATGTGATATGGACTTTGTGGGGATCCTGGACTTGGATAAGAACATGCCCTCTTCAGAACCGTTTGATAACTGGTTTTTGAGACTGAGGGGGAAAACCCTCCATTTGTGTTTGTCCAGTTTTCTTCATTTCTGCCATTCTGAAGAAAAAGGTTGTTTTCCATTCCACTTTGAACAAGATTATACCAAACATCCTCTCCCTGCTGTTGATGGACAGCCTACACACGGCTCACAGCGCCAGCACTTGCATTGAAGAGTATCCAGTATCAACGCTGGGTTAATACTGGCACACGCTGCCAGCGGGTGACCCCTGGACACCGC